GATACATGTAACACCCCGAGCATGATGTCAGTGCAAAGTATCAATAAATATATCTGATGCTAAAAAACGTAGGGATCAATGTGGATCATCCAGAAGGGGTCAGTAAGTAACAACCAAGAGATTTATTTACATGAAGAATTTGAGCATTAGAATGTTACCAGATGTGATTTTGCAATAATAGTAAGTGTTTTATTTTGTGCTGACTAACTCTTTAGTATTTTGTCCTTGAGACAGAGAGTGCAAGATCCACAGGGTATAACATGGATATGTTTGATGAATTTACAAAATACATTAATAAAGCAGATGTACTCTCAGAGGAGCTTGTAACTAACAACAAAGCTTTTAAATTCTACCATATTTTTAATCTACAACAAAGCTAAGGTCATTTTCAGAACATTGGCTACTTGTGAAATGAGAAAATCTGTTGCTTTGTTGGTGGGACGCTGCTCTCCTGTTATACCACACAGTCACCTGATGTAGAGGCCGGACAGGGGTCAAAGGTGACAAATAGCCGGTGCACTGAGATGTGACAGTGTCCTTAGAGGCTAACGGATGCCAGCGCTGTACCTGAAGGCCAGCATGTGTCTTTGCCTGGATGAATTAAGGTTATTACAAGGGACCAACTGCAGCAGTACATCCTAACTGACCCACGCTGACCCTGCCGCACTGTTCAGAGATGTGTCCTATAGAAGTCATAACATGGTCAAGAGAGCTATTCATATCCACTGATTGCACCTTTTATGTAAGCTAACAGAAATGGCTTGAAGTTAAAACATTTTGGACGAATAAATGTTACACAGAAATGCAATTTTGCTGCACTGAATGAAAATAAAAAGTCAATTTTATTTCACTTGTTACAGTGATGGAACGTCTACAATCTCATTTCAGGGATAAATTAAATAAAATATTATGGAAGTGTTCAATGATGTCAGTAAATAGGAAATGTACTAATACAATTGACATGAAATTACACTTTTAAACTATATCACTTTCAACTTTTTCCGTTTTTGTACTTCTGAGGTCACTAAAATCAATCTTCTATATATAATATAGTATAATGTGTAAAGTTTTTCAGGTGGATTTGGCGTAAGTTTAAAGTGAAAAAAGAAAATGGCTTTATTTGTCATACTTGTACAACAAAATTACTTGCGGTAGAATACGAGCTGTGAGCCGCTGCGACCCACATTTTGGAGAGAAGGGAAAACCGAATGCAAACACTAGAAGAAAGACCCCATCTGCTCTGGAAATTGAACACCAGACCTTCTTGCTGTGAGGCCAGAGTCTAACAACTTAACACTACTTGCTAGACTACAGATCTGGGGCTGGCTTATGAACCATTTTAACTAGATTCATTCTGTTTGTGCTAGGTTGGCTGCAGCATGGTCCATATAGTCCTTTTTTGAAAAATATATAATTTCTCTTCTTCTCCGGCAGACCTTTTGTGAGTGATGGACGCACCTCCATGAAAGCAGTGGCCTTACCAGATTTGAGAGCTAAACATACCTATTGACTTGACAAATTGAGGTCAAGACAACAACAAAAAAGTATTGCTTGCAGGCTTTTTCCTATGTGTTAATGCAAGACAAATAAGGTCTTTGAAAAATACAAGCTTGTATACGACTGGGGGCTCCAGACGTGATGCTGTTCGAGGTGCTGGTTTCTCCCTTACGGCTGCTCTAATCAGCTCATACTTTTCACACTAATAAATACACACTTGACAGGCTTTCTTTATTGTAACAGTTTCATTACTTACTTGTTTACTAAAAGGAGAAGAGATTATCAATAGCAAATCTGATGGCATTCAAAACCACAAGTGATACCAACATTCATATTAAGATCTCAATGTATTTTGTCTTACAGCTTTTATGTTTTTAAGTTTTGCTTTTTTCTTTGGCGGGAACAGTAGAGCATAATTTCTCCAGGGAGCCACAAGCTGCTGCTATCTCAGCTGTGTTTGCTAATCTTCCCTCGGCACCGATTTTTCCAGTCCCACAAAGTTAATACTGGCCCTATGTAAATAGCCTTATCTCATAAAGTCTAGTTATCCGCTCGCTGAGTCTGCCCCATGTGATACACTATAGAAGCACAAGGAGATTACAAAAAAAGGGCTTTACTGAGGTTATTTTAAATGACAGTGAAAATGTCAAAGTGTGTTTAACAATGAGGCAAAGCTAACAGTAACAACACAAAATGACAATGGTCAGATAAATACCAAAGGGGCACAATTCAAAATAAAATATGTTTTGAAGATGATCTTTAAAGGTGAACTTCTCTTTTATTCCTGCATCTCCCATTTGTACCTGGCCATAAAAGTAAATAGCAAGTACATTTTCAGTTGTTTTTTTGTTTGTTTGTTTGTTTAGCAGTTTATGTGGTGGAACATGTAAGATATACAGACACAGACTGGATACAGTTTACATACACATATAAATAAATAAACTACTGATATAAAAATTGGTTATTTTTCTGGCACTCCACATCCGAGCAGCCAGGGGTCCATCTAAGTGTGCATGTTTATAGAAGGGCCTGATCAGTGTAATGACGACAGAAATAAATTAACTCCATAGCAACAAGCCATCAAAAATGTTCGATATACTCCACACTACACAATAGGTAATACAAAACCTAGAGGTAAGGTTGACAACTCTAAATACCAAGATAAATGTCAAGATGTACCTAACAGAGGTGAAACAACCATCAGTGTAATTCAGTGCATATTATGTTTTGATGAGGATCTTTAGAGACGTCTCTTGTTGGGTTCATTTAGGAATACCTGCTTGCTCCACCTGTGTTCTGCCTCCTCTCTAGAAGACCCCAGATCGCTCAAAATGCAGTGGCAGTAGTTTTTAATTAAACCCAAAGGGAAAAGTATTAATTATCTCATTGCCTTTTGTGAATTGACTGGTGGCTGGCGCTCCGTACAGTCACCCCTGAATGCTGATCATGTGGAGGTGAAAAAGGTCTAAGTGTAATAGTGGATTAGAGTTCAAGTTAAGAAGTCTATTTGGACGGACACCTCAAAGAGGAGTGAGGCATGTACTTTAAAGGTGCACTAAGTAACTTTTCTGAAGAGTCAGACAGTTGTCTGCAGGTGTTTTACAGGTGGATTCTGAGATAGGCAGCTTGTCTCTCTGTTCCACTGTTAACCACATTATCCACTGATTATAATTATAGGTCAACCAATATGATTTTCTAAGACTTTTCAAAACTCCAGATCAGCTGGTGGTCGATGAACACGGCAGAATTTTTGATGATTATAATAAAGGTCTGATTTCATCTATTGTTACTTATATTAGAACATATTCAATTAAAGTCCCTTTTATAAGACACAAAAATATTCAAAGGTGTCTGATACAATGCAATAATTCAATGCAAGTTGATTTTTCTATTATGTATAATTTTGATGATGAATGTGTTGAATTTCTGTCACCTGTTGAGGCAGACAATAAAGCATATCTTTCTTTCTTTCTTTTTCTTTCTTTCTAACTATCTATTTATCCATCTATCTATTAGGGATGGGATAAGATCTCATGCCACAAGACCTTGTGAGACAATATTGCCTCAAGACTGTGCACACATCGGGAAAATGATCTCGAGAGATTTTTTTACTCATATTTTTACATTTGGCTTAGATAAAAAGGTTAAATTTGTTGAGCAACTTTTCTTGATAAGCAGTAATATTAAAACAAAGTGCTACAATGACACCTTAACTGTAAACTTGTAAAAAAAAATATGAAGCCAAAACTGTGAAATTAAGTGCACAATGAATTTGTTAAGAACATCTCGTCTTGTTCTCGTAAGCTGAATGTCGTGACATGTCTCGTCTTGTAGAAATTGAGTCTCGTACCATCTCTACTATTGGTTTATCGCTATCTCTCTATCAGTCTCTAAATTATGGTCTCACAGTACCACAATGATGTGCTTGCCAACATCAGGTATCTGAATGAATTATTTAAAGCTCAGTCTATGACCAACAAGAAAATGCTTTTATTACACACTGATCAGTTATAAAGCATGATTCAATCTATACTATTCAATCTTCTGCATACTAATCTCTCAGTGTATAGTGGCCTACAGAGGAACGTTACAGTCACCAGCTCCAGGCCTGAGCTTTCTGCTGAGGAGATGAAATTGCACTTGTGTCTTTGTCAGGTCCCCGTAGGTGTTTGTTAATGCTGCCGTTGAGGAGCACCTTATAAAGTATGCATGGACTCTCCCTGTGGCACCCTGCGGTATAGTGACGATGAGGCCAGGAAAATGCTGTTTGCCTGAGCCCTATGAGACTGCTTTACATAAAATTATCCTTCAGGTTGGACGGAAACTCAGCTATTCATTATCACCAAAAGGCAATGGACATTTCTCATTTGCATATAGACGCCGACTGTCACAAACAAACATCTTATTTAAGTGTATGAACCAGATCACTGCAAAAAAGTAGGGGTGGGAGATATATAGAAAAATATATAATGCCACAATTGTTATTTTGGAGCTATGTAAAATTTGAATATCATCTATAATTGTTTGGGAGATTAAACTAGACATTTCTGCTTCTTTTTGTCTTTTTATAGTTTCAGAGATCTTAAGATTAAGTTATATTTTTCACTTTTGTGGTTCATTTCATGGTCCACCTCAACAATGAAGTTTGCAGGTGCCTTTATCAGATTTCTGAATAGAGATCAACCGATATGTTTTATTTCAAGGCTGAAAATCTTTATGTGTATTTTTTTGGAAGCAGATTCACGAAAAACAAAATATTGGCCTATGCTTTAAAGTCCAAATATCGGCCTGATATATCAGCCAACCAATAAATCAGTCTATCTCTACTCCTGACGCATGACTCCATGATTAAACAATCTTCTGAATACCGCAAGATATTGAAAAAAAATGTATACATCAAGATAAACATTTTTGTCAATATCGGCCACCCCTACCGAAAAGACACCTTGACACAAAATGGATACTCTGCAAATAAGCAGGTGGAGACAGGAGCGGGCACTCACCCCTCAGGAGGTCCGAGCTGGAGAAAGGTGAACCGTACGTCCGGAACAACATCCAGTCAAAGTCATCGTTCTCCCCCTGAGTGAAGTCACACAGGCTGGGGTCAGAGTCCTCCTCGAATGTGCAGCCGGCCGCTGGACACAAGAGAGAAAAGACATTATTGCTGTTAGCAGACGCTGTGGCCAATGAATGCATAATGTGTATTGGTAGCTTTAACAAAATTCAATCAATTAAAATGTTGATTAAGACAGTCCAAAACTAAAACACAAGATTAACCCTTTTATATTTCCAGTAAAGGTTGGTTCATCTCATTGAATTTGATGGTATGGCAAATTTACTCTACTCTTTTTATGAAGAGCAGCCTGATTAGCAATTAATAAACAGAGTAACTTGCTGTAAATATTCCTTTTTTCATTTCATTTCATTTTTTATCTCACTGCCTCCTCCCTGACCACAATTCAAACATGTTGCAAGCCCTGCCTTTGAAAAGCTGAAGTTGGGCTTATCACGCTGTAGTTAGAAAACTGTACAACACCAGAAAAATGCTTTGATGTGATTTTAAACAAAAACTCTGCAGCTTTAAAATGGCCTGATTGGTCAAAAGCCTTTTCATGTTTCCAATGGCACCTAATGAAATGTTTTCTCGCTCTGACCTGGGCAAAAACAAATCTGACGACGAACACACTATAATTTTCATAGACCAACACAAAGGACCACAGGCTCTGGCAAAAGCAATAATTGCCCCGCTGCCTGAGGAGAATTACCCCTCCTACAAAAACATACAAACAAACTACAAATCCCAGATCATGTTCACAAAAGACATGCACAAACAGCAATAAATGTTTCAGAAAAGTGGGCACCGCAGGGAATGTGCTGATTATCATAATACCACACAAACTACTATACCACAGTCCAAAAAGCACATTTCTCAAATTATATTTAATAGCGACTGCTTTGATGGCTCTTGGGTCCTGAATAATGTGCTCCAGTGGTTGCTCCCTGCCTCTGTTGCCATATTTCACATTAAAGTCTGAGATTACAAGCCAAAGACAGACTGTTTGCACTGGGATGGCAGCAGCAGTGATAGTAAGAGGGAAGAATAAACAATATATCGGTACTAATGCTGATTTTTCATATATTGAATTGGTCCTATATTAAACTAGAAAAGCACTCAGAGAGCACAGACCTCCGCCAAGGACTACCCCCACTTTTTATATAAATTGCGATAAAATCAGTCTTCTGGATCAGATCCGGATCAGACTTTGGAATATGAAAGAGGATCCCATTGTCCATCCCTGAGTCAAATTTCATGGGGTTTGGTCAATAATTAACCGAGATATTGAGAAACAAAATTTTTGGCCCCATTTACCACAATGTTAACTAAAATTTCAAAGTGATCCAGAATCCAGGATTTCTTCCGGATCACCCCCAAAATGAAATCAGTTCTTCCTTTTCACATTTCCAACAAATCCTGAAAATTTTATCAAAATCGGTCCATAACTTTTTGAGTTATGTTGCTAACAGACAAACAAACAAAAAGACAAACAAACAAACAGACAAACGCCGGCAAAAACATAACCTCCTTGGCGGAGGTAATAATTACTTTCAGAACTTTACTACAACTGATTGGGCCTTACCATCAACATAAAATATCAGTTATAGCCCAAGATAAAGATCTGATTGACTGGTACTGGCTTTAACAAATCCGTATCGATATGAAGGCACAATGCATAAAAGAGACATGATAATAGCAAGAATACTGAAAGTCTTGAAGGTGACCTCTGCATTCACAGCTTTACAACAATCTTTTCATTCTGCTGTTCCGCCATTAAACACAAATGACTCTATATGACAGGCTGCAGACAAAACATTTTACACAATTCATAATTTTCCGTTTTACTACAGATGTCCATGACAGCCACAACCTTTAATAGGTAACATTACAGAGAGCAGAAAAATTGTTTCACAAAGCAAGGACAAAAGAGACTTTTACTGAGACTGGTTTGACCTCCATGTCCAAGTATTTCAGTAGATATTATTTAAAATACACAAATTATCCACTCTAAAATGTGAAAAGCATCACAAATAAACTAAACTTAATGCACACAGGCTGAATTTTAAAGGTGCACTGTGTAATTTTTCTGGAGGTGAGGATATCATAAAGTTGTCTTGATAGAGATGATATTGCATTGCGTATAATTCCTGAGATCTATCTTGCATTTATTCAGTTAAAGATCAGAAGGTCAGAATTGCTCATAAATAAGTGAGCGGGGTCGCCTCTACACAGATCGGATCTGTAACTTGGCCTGGTCGAGTCAACTGCTTGTCTCCATGAGGATAGAAAAGTTAAATACGATACTGTACAACATTCTAAGCAAATCAATGACATCTCCACAGAGAATAGCAGGTGGCATAACCTTATAAAAGTTACACTGTGCACCTTTAAATTTAACTTGGGAGCAGGACCACACTATCCATACACCACCTGCTTCCTCTTCTCCATCTTCTAGTCTTGTGCTCTCCACTTTTTTACTTCACATTGTTCCTGTTTTGTGAGTCTGTGTTGTTTAAGAGAAGTAATTGCATTAGCGCTAACAGGACTACTGCCACTGAGCTTTAGAAGTCTACTACATTAGCTTTAACACTGACGTAAAATTGAGGCTGCTATGTAGAGACCATATAACCACCATAATGTAGTTCTCGCATAACCTCTCACTGCTCAAGTTCAAACCAGTTAAACCCTGAGATCTGAGTCCAGATGGTGGGTTCACACTCACAGAAACCCCAGTGCCTCCGCCTCGGGCGAAACTATTACATCACTGCACCTTCAGAATAACACAATAGGAAGGAGAAGTATGCGCCCATGTAAGTCGTGGCCCACTGGGTGATAGTATCAGCCAATCGGAGCAGGGCTTTCTCCCTCTAGGTTTGATTTATCGTCCTGTGTTGGGCCGTTACAGCCTGGACCTGCTGTTGGGGCCAGGGGTTAATTGTGCTGCACTGGGGTCTATTTCGATAGAACAGCCTCGTATGGGCCCTGACATATCCGGGCACTGGAACTATATTATTCCCTGCTGTTTCTGTAAATTAAGCTGACAGACTCATGCCCGCAAAGTCCAACAGAAGAAGGAGAGGGATGGAGGCAAGAGCTGAAGGGAAGAAACAACTTGGTGCCAATGGGGAGACAAACATTGAAAAGTAAACCTATAGAGGAATGAAATATGAAATTACTGACAAAAAATGTTTTGAAAATATGGAATGGTGGAATATTGAGTTGGTTGTTCATTATTTTAAAAATATTTCTATAATATATCTGAATAAAATAAGCAATTTTTCTTGTGTAAAAGGAAACAACTTTCACCTACCTCTACCGAATTTTGTGCTGACATCTCTAATGAGAAGCAGTCCTGTAAAAGGCAATATATGAAATATCGAACAAAACTATGAATGTTGGGTTGAAGATTTGGAAGATTGCAGAACATCAAAACATTATCGGCATCGGTATCCTCTAAAAATACATCGAGAAACATTTTCATCAATATCACTCATCCTTGTCTCTGTATAATAAAGAAACACATTTCCTCATAAGCAGCTATGGTTTAAGAAATCACACTGCATAAATCAGAAAACATGTTGGACTGTTTTCTACATAATTTCCATTTTAACACATTGGGGATATTCATGCCTGTGTTTGTGTTGACACTTGAAGTAAAGAGTCTTACACAGTGAGTAGTTGTGCGACTCAAAATGTTTGTTTACCAGACATCCCCATTTGTCTGAGGTTCAAATGTTAGACGTGCACTTAAGTCTGTTGCCTCTTCGGAGTCCTTCGAGCCACATGTAGCCCTTAATTTGGGCTTTGGCATCTCTTCTGTTTACTTGTATAATCCCCCGCCTTGCTATCTAATTAGAGTGTCAGATATGCACCAGGAACAATGTCGGCGTCTCTGTTTATCCCTTTATTTGCATATGTTTTAAGTATAAGAATGCCGGTCTATAAGCTTATTAGGGTGCTAGGTCTCTATCAACTTCCACTTGAATAAATCAACACAGGAGCTGGTAAAATTAAAGAATCGTGTGCTTCCTGTCCCGGGGTATATACTAAGCTGCTGTTGATGCTTTGTCATGACCGTCAGTTTCAAAGGGGGCTACCATCAAAGAGCCATCTTCCAAAATGAACATTCCACGTCTTTGCAATTTCAAAGAAAATATGGCCGCTATTAAATATGAAACATAAACCTTTGATCTAAAACATTGATAATATTTTTACTGCTTTAAAATACAGATTGGCTGTGTTGAGGAAGCCGTTGTACCCATCCCCATAGCCCTATATACAAAGATCTTAAAAAGGCAAAATGTATAGCATTAATATCAAATACTAATGATGCAAGGGTAGGCAAACCTTATGTCCTATATTTTCCCTGTTCAGATATCGCAGCTTAAAAGCAGAATCTTCATAATTTCTTAGATACTTTTTGTAAAGAGCTCTATTTTCACAAAAAACACAATTTAAGCTCACAAATTCATCAACGGCCATTTGTTTGTTGCAATACACAGGAAATCAAAGAAATTGTCATTGAGGGTGGTCAATGTGTCAAAAAATAATTTGATCATAATTAGTATTTTTTATCAGGAAGAATCCTTTAGCACTTATTCTGGGAGTACACACTTAATTATGATTGGTTAAAACTGCCTGTCACTCAATCAAAGCTGATGACGGGTAACCAATAGGAGGACTGGAGTGGGGTAGATAGATATAAATAAACAGCAGAAGTCTGTTCAGTATGAAGCTGCAATGAGCAAAGACAAGCACTGAATTACAATATAGTACATTGTTAGAACACAATCAGATTTGATATTGTATCACGCATCTTCTTTGACAGACAGTTTGCGCTTATCTAATTAAAAACACAATTTCACATTACAAACACAACATAAAACAATCAAGAACAAATGATGTCTCTATTCATTATTTGATAACAGTACAGCCCATGTACAGAAAACTTCACAAGAAAAGTAATTATAAACTTAAAATCCCAAATGATCTAACAGATGGCAGGCTTCACCGAAAATGACTGAAAAACAAGTTATTATTATTATAAAAGTGATTATTGTAATGAGTACCTGTATCACT